GCGCACAAGCCCTATAGTGAATACCTCTCCAAAAAAAAAAAAAAAAAAGAATTGACGTGCAGTAGCCTGATCCCTGACGTGATAGTACTTGGAGGTAGGGCCTTTGAGGCGTAATTAGATGGTAGGGGTGGCGCCCTTCTCATGGGATTAGTACCCTAAGAGAGCTGTGATTTCTTGGCCATGTTAGGCTACAGTAAGAAGGTGGCCGTTTGCAAACCAGGACAGCGCTCGCCGGGAACCGAATCTGCGGCACCTTGAACTCCGGAGCCTCGAGCAGTGCAGAATAAATGTATGCTGTTTGAGCCGCCCAGTCTAAGCTATCATAGCAGCTCGAGCCGACTAAAGGAAGTCCGAAAGCGCGGTGTCGGTGTCGGCAAGGCCGTGCTTCTCTGGGGAGAACCCTTCCCTATCTCGTGCTGGCCTTGAGTGGAGGCTGACAAGCCCTCGTGCCTCAAGGCTTCCGCTGCATCATGCCTCTGTGGTCACGAGGTGTTCTCCCAGTCGGTCTCTGTCTCTCCTCTCTGTATGACACCAAGCATACCGGATTAGGCTAATGACCTCCCAATGACCTCATCTTAATTTGATTACATCTGTGAAGACGTTCCAAATTAGGTCACTGTCACATGTCCCAGAGGTTAGGACTACGCGTTTTTTTTTTTCAACCTACCAGTTCAACCCATACACGTGTGTAACTTAACCGGGGCGAGCATACCGCCACTCATCTTTCTGAGATCCCCCATGATGGGCCCGTCCCTTGCAGCTCTGAGTCCACATGGATGAAGCACCAGCTCCAACACCAGCTCCAGATTAAGCGAAGCGAAGGGTGAGCTTCCAGGGCGTAAAGGGGTTGGCCACAGACCCCCATCTCCGTTCTTCCCTCCCACCCAGTGATTGACATCTGTCTCACCCACACCCAGTTCGACGTCTCTGTTTTGGGGACTCACGTATATTGGGTCTCTCAAAGCGTTCAGTTGAATTTTCATAAGAAACATCTGTCCTTGTTTGTGCACTTCTGATTCATCCATTAATATAACATTTAATTCGATTGCAAACAGTAATTACCATGACAAGGGAACTGTCAGAAACACAGTGGGGAACAAACGCAACTGACTGAGAGCAAACTGCCCAGCGGTGGGCGGAGAGGTGGCGGGGCCCAAGGGAGGAGGCTGCCGGCTGCCCCTTCGCTGGCGGGGGACCAATATGTTGGTTGGGGGTTAGGGGAGGCTTGGCTGGTGTGTTTTTATCACAGAGTACAGCAGTGTCTACACTGGGCCCACCTCTGGGAATCCAGGCACCTAGGTGCTGGGTGTGTCAGGGTGAGCTGAGCAGGCAGCTTCTCGCACAGGGCTGTGAAGATAAAATGCTTTCTGGCCCCCAGCATAGACCCTCACTCAGGGCCCTGTTCTCCATGCAGGGAGTCTTGGCTCTTAAAAATCAAGAACCAGCACACCCATTAGGATGGCTACTATTAAAAAAAAAAAAAAAAAAGCAAAATCCAGACTGTGGTCTGACTCAGTAGCTGCAGGCTGCTGCTTGGCATGTGGGAGGCCTAGACCATGTGGGAGACCCCAGTTTGAGTCCCAGGACCCCTTGCAAAGCTAGACACGGTGGTGTATAGCTGCAGCCCCAGCTCCTTGACGGGTAGAGCAGGAGGATCGTGAGTTTGAGGCCAGCCTGGGCAACATCATGAGACTCCGTGGGAAAGATCTGGGCACATGCCTGTGGTCCCAGCTACTCAGGGGGCTGGGGCAGGATTGTGACACAGCGGGACCTGTCTAAAACCACACACTCACACGCACACACACACGCACACCATGTGTATGAAACAGCAGGCAGTAACATGTGGATGAGGCGTGGAGAGCCCACCCACGGCATGTGAACAGGACTGGAAAACAGCTGCCACTGCAGAAGTGGCTTGGTGGCTCCTCAGTAAGTTAAGCCTATGAGCCAGCAGTTCCTCCTGAGTGTGCACCCCAAACACATGGAGACCCTGTGTTCAAACACTCGCACATGACTGCGGAGAGCAGCCCCCCTCAGCGACCTGGAGCCGTGGGAAGAAGCCAGATGTCAATCAAATGATAAGTGGGCAAAATGGGACGCAGACGCCCATGGAATGTCATTCAGCCATGGAGAGGACGCTTGGATACCTGCTGCAACATGCCTCAACTTTGAAGACGTGCTAAGTGAAAGAAGTCAGATGCAAAATACTGTCTGACTCTGCTTATACCAAATATTCAGAATAGGCAAATCTGTGATGGACGGAAAGGCAGCCAGGGGCGAGGGGAGGGAGGATGGGGAGTGACCACGTGACAGGTAAGGCGTTTCCTTAGGGTGATGGAAAGTTCTGAAACTAGACAGGGGCGATAGTTGCAGAACTTCGTGAATGCTTTTAATACCACTGAATATTACACTTTAACGTGGCTAAGAAAGAACCCAAGGCTAGCTCATGGCATGGTGGCTGGGAGCTGGAGGCCACGTGGCCGCCTGTGTCTGAGTGGTCTGTAAATATAACTGGCACGTGTGTGTGGCCAGACCCTGACAGGATGGAGATACGGAGACGCGGTTGTGATGCAGCTCAGTCCCATGGTGTGTGGGGGTGCCTTGTCCCTCCCTCTCTGTCAAGCGCACATGTCTTCTGGCAAATTGGAAAAAGAGAGAGAGAGAGCGCGCACATATGAAAGGAAGAAAAAGACAAGAAAGAAAAGAAACCAGATCGACGCCAGTAGTCAACCCTCCAGTAGCGCTATCCTCAGGACAGGCCTCATTTCCGTTCTTCTGGGCCTTCTCAGACCAGCATGTGCTCTACTTTGGGGTTCAGAGAACATGGGCACCCAAAGCAGAGTTAATCTCCTACCCTTCCTCCCTGAGCTAGCCTCGGGCTCCTGGTGCCCCCAGCTCGAAGAGGTCTCTGAAGGCTGTCCCCTCTGAGGCTTTCGGGGTCTGTTCATTCACCGCTTTCCCAGATCCCCGCGTTCCCCAAGCAGACACTGGGGAGAGGAGGGAAAGGCGCCTGACTCACCTGCCCTCACTTCTTGGCCCTGTGCCTTCCCAGCTGCATGTTCCAGGCTGAACAGATGCTAAGAAGGCACTAGAGCTGCCTCCGCTCAGTGCCTGCCACACTGGGACCATAGGCGAGAAAGGCTCAGGCAGCCACCTCAGCGCCTAGCCCCTAGCTGGGTACCTGGTCTGCCCCCCCGCCCCCGCTTCCATCTCCCTCCCTGCCTCAGCCCCATAAACCACAAGGCTGGGCAAGAGGAGTCTGCCCAGGACCCCCTGGAGGGACAGGGTGGTTTAGAGGCCGAGGGCGGTCCCTGGAGTTACAGCCAACCCCCATCTCATTCATGTTTCCAGCTGGCTGAGAGCTTGGAAGGCTTCCCTTGACCTTGCACTGCCAGACCTGTGAGTTGGTGGGATCAGGCTGAAGTCCATGCATGCTCTGAGGTGCAGCTGGGACAGGCTGGCGACACTGGGGAGGTGGCAGCCTGTGACTAGCCTGGAGGCTGGGCTTAGGGAGCCGGTAACTGAGGCCCAGGCTCTGCAGGCTCCCGCTCCAACAGCTAGCTGTCTCTGGAGGTTCTTTTTCCACAGATGGGAAACTGAAGGCTGTCTGTGGGGCGAGACCTGGAGGGGGCGTCGGGGAAGGGAGGGCACCCGGCAAGGAGCTCCTGCTGCATCTGGGTTAAACACTGGGAAGCCAAGGGCGGCTGGCCTGGGTCTCATCCTGCCTTCACTGCTGGGCTCCCTCGGGCAGGTCTCTTAACCTCTCTGGACTTAACTTTCCTTATCTGTACAATGGGGGATGACAGTACCGTCCCATAAGTGGTAGGAAGAGATGGGACTAATGTGAGGGACTGACAGCGCCTGGAGCCCAGTGAACACTCAGGGTCGCTGGTGGCCTGCAGGAAGCAGCCCACTTTATAGCTGAGGAAGCAGCTTGGTCCCCTCTGCAGGGCCAAGTCCTACAGCTGAGTGTGAAGGCAGAGGACTGTGGAGGTGACTCTGGGATGTGGCTGGGCTGGAGGTCAGTGGCACCCTCTCAGGGCCGGGCAGAGTCTGGGGTGCGAGAGACCACAGTGGCTCTGGTGGCCTGGGCTGCATTGTTGGAAGTCACCCATGTTTTAAAGAGGGAGGGGTCAGGGTGCAGGAAGGAGGTGCTGGGTACCAGGCCCCTTGTTGCCCCACCCAGCTGGACACTGGCCGGGCTACCTTGGGCTGGTCCTGTCTTCGCCTGGAACACGTCCTAGATCAGTCAGGAGCCTGAGGCTTCCCGCTGCTCTCCTGTCCCGGAGCCACATCATTGGTCCTGGCCTCCCGAGATCTAAGCCTCAGAGACTTCAGGAGACCTCCCACCTTAGGGACTTGCGAGGCTTCCGTTTCCTTAGCTGTAAAGTGGGCTGCTCCCCATCTCTGTGAGCTAGCTGAGAATTCGATGGTAAATGTTAGAATTTGGGGATCACAAAGCAGTCTGCAAATGCCCACGATTAGGTGCCATTATCTGGACTCCGAAGACTCTCTCCCTCCCTCCCTAATACATGGTTTCCACAGACTGGACCCCTCCCCAGGCCCAGAGCCAGACAGCTGACTTGTCAGCCATGAGGACTCGAGGAGGAGGCCTGGTGGGGAGGCCGGGACCCCAGGCGTAAGCTGGGCGGTCACTCGGGTGGGCAGCCTGAACTGGGCACGGCGAGGGTCCTCCTCCACTGCTGTTCTGTGTCCATGAGGACGGTCTCGAGCAGAGAGGGCTCCGGGGCAGGGAGTTCCAGGGGACTGTGGCCTCTAGGGGTGGCGTCGAGAACAATCCTTCCCAGCACATGAAAGGGGCCCATCCTGGGGTCATGGGTAGCCCACAGTGACCTGGGCCCTTCCCACAGGTGGTGGCACATCTGTCTGCTGTCCGTCACAGCCCACTCACTCCCTGGGGCTGTCACCCCTGCCCCTCCCACAAGCCAAGCCTCAGAGCAGAATGGCCTCAGACCCCTGGTCTCGGGGCTTGCCGAGCCCTGCACCGAAGCCCAAGCACACATCTGTGTGGAAGGCTAAGCTCTGGGCATCTGGGCCTGGCACAAGGGGCTGCAGACTTCCGGGGCTCAGACAATCCCAGCCGTGCTCCCCTTCCCATGGCCCCTCTGGGCTTAGTCTCTGGATGGGAGCGGTCGCCCCCTGCCTGCCCAGGAACACCTCCGGCTCCTCAGACAGCCCCTAGTGTGCCTCAGAGACACCCTCTCACGGCTGTGCAGAGCCGGGGCTGTTTCACAGGTGGTCCCTGGCATCCGTCCTGGGGCAGCAGCTCACCTCTGCCCTCACACAGGGCTCAGCTCTGCACCGAGAGCACAACAGTAAGAGACAGGGCACCTCCCAGTCTTCCCCAGCCCTGCTCAGGCTCCTCCCCCTTGGGATGCATCCCCGCCCATCCTGACGGCTCTGCCCCAGGAAGCCTCATTTCTCACCTGCCTTCTCTGGGTGAAAGGCAGAGTTGAGAAAGCTGTCAGGGGCCACCTGAGACTTACTGGTCACTTTTGGAGCCTCTTGGTGGCCAGGGCCCCTTATTGGTTTCTCCCCACTCCTGCCAACACCCCCTCCTGCCAACACCAGACTACCTCGGCCCTGGTGTTCCTTGGGTCCTCTACTCTGGGGCACAGAGCTTGGGGAATTGGCAGAGCAGGGTGCCCCATCTGGCCTTCCAGGACATTTTGGCCCCTCCCTGGGCCAAGATCCTCAGCCACCAACCTCCCCTGGAGCTGTGGTCAGTCTGCTCCTGGCGTCTAACACTACACACCCAAGGTGCTCCTGTGCACATGCACACAAACGCCCCCGTGCAGCCCTCCTCCTGGACAGCCCAGGGTCCTGTGTGTGGGGTTCTGGTGACCCATCACACCCCCTGACCCTCAGGACGTGGTGTGCTGGCTTTTGCTAGCCTACACGTTGCCACAGCTCAGGCCTCTAAGTGGTCAGATGTGGGAAATGCAGGGAGATTGATGTGCCCTGGGGGCCTTCTGCCAGCAATGGACGGGAGTTGGTGAGCAAATGCCCCAGCTCCCTCGCCCCTCGGGTGGGAAAAGGGGATGGAGGTGGTCCACGCAGGCCTCCCGGCTTTTCCAGCAGGACAAGGCTGCAGCTGCCCGGGGTGGTTGCCCCCGTTGCCCGGCCTCCCTCCCTCACCCTCTCTGGATTCCCCTTCCCTGAGTTTGTGCTGAAAACCTGTCTCAAGGTCAGCTTCCAGGGGCTCTCCGGCTAAGGCGGACTCGAGGTCTGCTCAGTCTCTCTGGCGTCCTAACTGCACTCCTGCTTCTACTCAGCTCCTCCCCTGGACTGGACACACCTGTCTGGGCCCACTGTCCGGCCCTGTTCAGGCCATGCCCTGCGTGAAGGCCTTCCCCTGCATTGCTAATCTGTGGTCCTTCTCTCCCTGCAAGGACTGGCCCTGGCCAGACCCCACTAAGTCCTTCTGCACTCCCTGCCTACAGCCCTCAGGGGCTCCCCTAGCACCCCACCCCTGACAGGGTGTGAGTGGGGCCAAGTGTCCCAGCAATAGCAGCTTCTGAAGGCTGTCAAATGACCCCCACTTCTCTGAGGCACCCCCTCCACCCCGCCCGCTGTAGAGTCCAGGCCTCCACGAGGTTGGTTTTGAAAAGATAAATATTATTATTGACGTCAGCCACTCCCCGCCCAGCAGCTCGTTTCCTGGGTCCCCACACCCAAAGTCCTGCTCTGGCTGTGGGGCCCCACTGGACTTGGGGTGGGGGTCCACGCGGGGGCTGAGCCAGCCTGGGGTGGAGGGACCAGCTGGCTGGTTGTTCCAAGAGCCACTTGTCCTGCTTTAGGGCACTTGGGCAGAGAGGGCCCTTCTATCTTTGCTTAGCTGTGACCCTCCCCAGAGGCTGTCAGGACCACAGGCTCTGCCCGAGAGGCCAGATCACTGAACAGCAGACTGGGGGCCAAGAGTTCTCTGTCCACCTCAAAGGGAGGCTGGCCTTGACTGGCCACGCCCTGGTCCTCTCCACAGGCACTGTCGTCCCAGCCCTCATCTTCTCACAAAGGGGGACACACCTGGGCAGAAAGTGCCAGGAGTTGGGGTGAAGGTATTGACGGTGGTTAAGTGAGCAGCAGCCGTGTGGCCTGCAGGGAGAAAAGGTCCGAGGGAGCAAGGCAGCAAGGCAGGGCGTTCTGGTGGCAGTGCCACGGTGCCACCTGAGTTCTGGTGGCCCCAAGGTGATTCCTAGTGATGTGGTCCAACATCTGATGACGTCCCCTGAGGCCTACACTGTCAGCAGGCTCCAACAATGACGTCCAGGTTCCCAGTGCGGTCAGAGGCAATGCTAAGGCCCAGAGGCATTGCTGCAGGGATTCGAGAGTTTCCCAGGATGCCCTTGGGGTAGCCACAGCCCTAGGGGCCTGGCCTGAGTGCTCGGATTGGAGACAGCTCTTGGAGGGAGCTGGGAGCTGTCGGGGCTTTCCAGCACTCCCAGTTCCCTTTCCATTTCCATCCTCAGGGAGGATTGGGGAAGGGGCCAGACCAAGGTCAGAGGTGCTGGGCCCAGCCCAGTCCTGTAAGGCCATTCTTCCCATGGCCTGGCTCCTCTGCTCTCATGGCCCGGACCACTTGCCTGGCTGGGGCTGGAGCTGGGGTTGGGGCTGGGGCTGGGAGAAGGGCCCTCCCAGGTTCTCAGGGCAGCTGCTCCTGTGGAAGGGAGTGGGAGGCGCTCTCGCCTCCACAGACAGGTGGTCGGAGTGCCTGGCCATCATCTTCCCAGCCACAGACCTCAGGGGGCTGCTCCATGCCTCCCAGTTCAGACCGCCGTGGACTGCTTGATGCTGTGAAAGCTGACCCGCGTGGGGGAGGTGGGGATGGACATGGCGCGGGCCACACGAGCGCGGATGGAGTGTTTGTCCTGCCACCGGTGCCACCTCTTCCGGATGGCAGAGCGGACCTGTGGGCACAGGGCAGACCACAACCTCTGAGCCTGGGGCTCAGGCCCCCTCCCTCCCGTAGGCAGGGCTGCGCAGGTGAGTGGCTGGCCGGGTGAGCGGTGCACAGGGGTCCACAGGAGGTGACACCGTGCACCTTGGTAGATCGTTAAGTTGCATATTTGCTCGGACAGCTTTCCCAAGTGTCCTGAAGAAGGGCACCTTTTCTGAATCGGCACAAAAGTGCCACATGGCCTTCGCATGAAGAATCCCACCCCTGACCCACATGCATCCCCTGCCCCAGGGCAAAGGAGTGGGCTGCCATTACAGAAGAGGGGGCAGGACCCTACTGGGGCTCCCAGCAGCATCTCCAGAGGGGGTTGGGAGGAGGCGCCAGACTGTCTTCAGTCCCAGCAGGCCTCCGTCCCCACCCAGCCCAGCCCCAGGAGTCTCACCTCACTGTTGAGGAAACAGTAGAACACAGACACGAAGAAGCCCTGGCAAGGAGAGAGGGGCTGGTGTAAGGCCTATGGGCTGCCCCTTGCATGGGTCCTCCTCCTACAACCCCTGGAATTTGCCCGGCAGAAGGCCCAGCCAAGGAGGTGCAGATCTGGCCTGTGCTGGGCTGGGGGCGACTCTACCTGGAAGGACTCCAGGAAGGAGTTGAAGTAGATAAAGACGACGCGGGAGACCTCGTCCTCACCAGGGTTGACGAAGAACAGCATGTAGGTGATGCCCAGGAGGGGAAGCAGCACCAACGTGGCCTTCACAGCCTTTCTACAGGGCGGGGGACCCAGAGTCACTGCCCAGCCCAGCAGATGCAGGTCCCAGTGACTGAGGCAGGGGGAGCTGGGGTGCAGGCCTGGGACAGGGAGACCCAGGCATTACCTGTACTGAATGGTCTCAGATGTGGTGGATGCCCGGAGTTTGGTCATCAGGATGCGGACGATGTTGAACAGGAAGATGAAGTTGATCTGCAGTTTGGGCACACCACGGGGAGCTAGGCACTGGGGAGGGGGCGGCAGGCCGGGATGCAGCCTGTCTGTCCCACATTCCCACTGCTCTCCCTGGCAGGAAGGTCCTTTGGTCCACAGTAGCTCGGGCTGTCCCTCCCCACTGTGCCTGTCTCCTGCCCCTGCCCAGGTTCTTACCAGCAGGACCAAGATCATGGGGCCCTGGTAGATGTAGTCTGTGTACACCCCTGGCCTTTTGCCAAACCAGCACCTGAAGAGGGGAATGGGGGAGGGGTGTCATCTGGGCCTCCTCAGTGGCATTGGGGATCAGTGCTTGGCCAGGGCAGGACTGGGACTGGAAGCTCAGATGTGGGTGCCCCAGTTCTAACCACGCACAAAACCAACGCTCGGTCCACCGAAGTGCCCCCTTAGTGCACGTGCAGAACAGGCAGCGGCCGCCACCCCGAGTGGTAAAGATGGAGGTGAGCACTGCGCAGGGACGGGGTGGTGGGCGAGACCGAGCGACCCAGGAGCAGGCACACCGACACACATTGCCTGGTGGGCCCCTGCTGGGGCCGGGGCTCAGCCTGCCCACTGGGGTGTCGTTGGGGTGAGTGGCACACATGTTCCCTCACACTGCCCATCACAGGGGCCACCCAGTTAGCCATATCTGTCTGAGCCTGTTCAACTGCAGCCTGAACGACCTTCCGCAGCGTCCACCTGCTGCAGGAGGCAGAACTGCTTTGCATTTTGCTGAGTTCTATACCAGCGCACCCCTGGTCTGGGGAGTGGGCGGGAACAGGGCAAAAGGGAGGCCCACGTCCTACTGGGCATGTAGATCCCAATGCCAAGACCTTATGATGCTTCCGAAATGCAGAGATTTATATTTTATATAAAACCTCTTGGCTTTTTAAAGACTGGCCACAAAACCAAGTTTTCAAAGAAACAGCATCAGACCACACACCGCTGCCTGTGGGCCAGTTCCGGTTCTCGGCCGCTGGTCTCCTAAGCACTTTCCGGTTCCTCCTCCCATCCCAGATCACCTCTGCCGCAGTGTCAGCATCTTACCACTAGGTGGGGCCTTAGAGCTTTCAGATCCACTTTCTGCTCCAGCCCAGGCATTCTTTTCCCTCCAACACATGCACACGCCCTTGCACCTGCACACACACGGCGGCTTTTGAAACCTGTTCCTCCCCACACCCGCTTCCCCCCACACACCTGCAGGCACAGCCTTTATCATGCGACACTGCTGCTCTGGGCCCCAGGCCCCTCGACTCTGTCAGCTGGTTCCCCTCCCTTAGGCCCCTCCTGCCAGCTGCACAGAGGCAGTGACAGCCAGCAGGCCTGAGTCAGGAAGGAGTCACCGTCATAAATAGGGAAGATAACTTCCCAGGCTCTGTGGGGACCAGTGAGGCTGTGGGGGCCCCCTCAGTCGTGGGGGAGGAGCGAGTTTGTCACAGGGACGAGCCACCTGGACACCAGTCAGGCAGTCGGTCCTGAGGACTTCTTCGGGAAAGCAAACCCTGGGGCCTCTCCGCTGTGTACATCCACCTTTCCTGCCTCTTCTCTCAGTGGTTCTCAGTCTCAGGTGCACATCAGAATCCCTTAAGGACAGTTTCTAAATAGCTCGGGGCCAGGCCATGCCCCAGGCCTGTTAGATGCAACTCTGGGGGCAAAGCCCAGGGACTGGCACTTTCAAAGTTTCCCAGGTACCTTTAAAGTCAGTCCAGACTGAGACCCACTGTAGTGGGAGTCTTGTTTTCAGGGGTGATTAGTCTGTTTCACTAAGGAACCACAGGACCCCTGAGATCCTCCGACCGCAGGATCAGATCCTGTTAAATCCATAGATGCTTTTGTTAAGACAAGTCAGACTGTTAATGGGACACATTTACATGACTGATTATGGGCCAGGCACTATTCAACGCTCAATACACTACCTCCTGCCATCCCTACAGCCCTTTGAGGTAGGCACCATTTTTAGGGTGTCCATGTTCCCACTGAGGAGGCTGAAGTGCACTCTAGGAGCTAGCCCGAGGCCACATGGTTATGTAGCGATGAAGCCGTATTTCAGAACCTGGACAGCCTGGCTCAGAGACTGCCCCTGTGAAAGTTCCAGAAAGATAAAGGAGTCTGGGTTCAGCCTGCCTAGCCCCACCTCAGCCAGGCCCTGGCAAGGACTCTGGGATGGAGCCCAGTCCCAACTCCCTCCCTTTTTAGCTGCAGAAACCATGGTCTGGCCAGACTTGACCAGAGGCCCCCCGGAAAGGCTGGGAGCCTGAGGGTGGGGAGGGGAAGGAGACGACTTACTTCTCATTGTCGTAGTACAGTTTCCCAATGGCCCAGGCCACAATGATGGGGAAAGGCACACCTGGGGGAGAGAGGGGCTGTCACAGAGACTCCAGTGGGAGCCGGAGGGCTGCCAGGCCCAGAGGGGGCAAGGGAACTCCCCACTCTTTTGGGATGTTCCTGCTCCCCCACACCCCCCAAGAGGGGCAGAGGGCCGTGGTGCCAACCTGGCTCGAGTTGGGGTGAGGAGAGGGCGGCTGGGACAGGAGGCTGGCGGCTCACCCCAGCCGATGCAGACGAACATCCACTTGCGTAGCCGGTCGGTGGAGTAGGTGAGCACGATGGCCGTGTGCAGGTAGCAGCCCTCGCCGAACATCCAGAAGAAGTTGGTCACGTGGAAGTAGTTGTAGGCAGCTGTCACCAACCTGCACCAGCCCTGCCACCCCACCAGAGGTGACAATGAGCTGCTGGACGGAGGGACAGTGGCGGGCAGCACCCCACTTTGGGCCTGGGGCCTCCTCAGGTGGGGCAGGGCACTCTCTTGGATCCCGTCCCTGTCCTATGGGCCTCGAGGCCTGGCTGGATCCCTCTGTGCAGGGCCGGGGGACTCACGCCAGCCAGCCTTTCCTCAGACCCTGGCCTGGCCCCATTCCGCCTTCCCACGTCAGGACGCACCACGTTGCTCTGGTGGACCTCGGGGCTCATGGTGAGCTGGACCACGAACCACGTGGCATTGCGCAGGATGAAGGCCGAGATGAGGTTCCAGTGGATGATGTTTCTCAGACACCGGATGCTCCTGGGCGGCAGAGGCCGGAGGATGACAGCAACAGGAGGAAAGAGGAGGTGAGGGAGAGGCTGCCAGCATCCCTCCAGCCCAGAAGTGTGGATGGGGAAACTGAGGCTCAGAGCAGGGTTGACCAGCTGAGTCAAGAAGGAGGTGGCCATGAGGCTGTCCTGGTGCCCCATGAGGCCCAGCCGTGAGCTCCTGGAGGAGACTGGGTGGCCTGCTCACAGGGATGCCCCTGTCCCCAGTGGGTGCCCCTCCACTCCTGCAGACCCAGGGCTGAGAGTCAGGGCCAGCAAACACAAAGATCTCCAGTGGGAAGCCCTCCTCCCTTCCTTTCAGCCCATGATCGGGTCCTGCTCCTGCCCGCCTTGTTCCTGGCCCTGTCACCTCCTTGGCTGCAGTGCTGTGGCCCAGACACGTTACTACCTGAAGGGCAGATGCTGCTCCATGTGGCCCCACTTCTGGGGCTCCACCAGCCTGTGTGAGTGACATGGGCAAGCCTGACTTCGTCCCTCCCCACCTCCACCCCGAGCAGCTACAGGGAACATGCACAAGTGCCTTTGCCAGAGGTCCCAAGAGACCCGAGACTCCACATAGGCTGCCCCTCCCCGGCAGCCCTGGCCTAGGGCCACCCCTCATCTCACTTCCCCACCCTGCTCAAGGGCTCGGGGACAAGGAAGAGGAAGTGCTGGAGACATCTCACCTGAGACGCAGAAAGAGGACAAAGGCCACCAGGAGGGCCACCAGGGAGATGCAGTGGCCCAGATAGTTGATGATGACAGCGACATGATAATGCACCTTGCTCTTTTTCTGAGGCAGGAGAGAGGGGCAGAGGTGAGGCTCCTGCACAGCCTCATCCCTGTGCCCACGGGGCGGGAGCAGCTCTGTGAGCAGCCCCAGGATTGGGGGGCTGCAAGAAGTGGGTCACGATAGCAAGGGCTAGTTCCCCTTCCTGAGCCCCCGTGGTGTATCAAGCACTGCCCTGCAGCAGCACCGTCCCCCCAAGGTCGTCTGCGCCGGGATCCCAGGCTCTCTCCACTGTGCCCGAGTTGTTGCACTGAATCTTCACATCACACGCACTGCACGCAACACACGTGTGCCCAGCCCACAGATGTGCACTCAGCTCACGTCTGCCCACGTTTCTATTCCATCCAAACACCAGGTGGCTATAGTGGGCGCAGAGACACCAGCTTTCCTGGACTTTTCCCCCATGTCTGAACTGAATCTCCATCTTCTAAGTCATCCCTAAGTCCCTCCTGCTGCAGCAGAAGCCTGCACCTGTCGGCCAGGAAGGGGCGGAGTGGCTGCTGTGTGTTAGAATCCACTGAGGGGCAGAGGTGAGGCTCCTGCACAGCCTCATCCCTGTGCCCACGGGGCGGGAGCAGCTCTGTGAGCAGCCCCAGGATTGGGGGGCTGCAAGAAGTGGGTCACGATAGCAAGGGCTAGTTCCCCTTCCTGAGCCCCCGTGGTGTATCAAGCACTGCCCTGCAGCAGCACCGTCCCCCCAAGGTCGTCTGCGCCGGGATCCCAGGCTCTCTCCACTGTGCCCGAGTTGTTGCACTGAATCTTCACATCACACGCACTGCACGCAACACACGTGTGCCCAGCCCACAGATGTGCACTCAGCTCACGTCTGCCCACGTTTCTATTCCATCCAAACACCAGGTGGCTATAGTGGGCGCAGAGACACCAGCTTTCCTGGACTTTTCCCCCATGTCTGAACTGAATCTCCATCTTCTAAGTCATCCCTAAGTCCCTCCTGCTGCAGCAGAAGCCTGCACCTGTCGGCCAGGAAGGGGCGGAGTGGCTGCTGTGGGTTAGAATCCACTGAACCATCAGAAACCTTTACAAAAAAAAAAAAAATTGGGACTATCAGATGGCATAATGGTGATGTCGCTGGACTCCCACGTAGTCGACTGTGGTTTGAGTCCTAGACTCAACGGCTTAAAACTCACGCCAGAAGCATGTGTGTGCATGCCCAAGATCCCGAGAGGAGAATGGAGGAGAAGGGACTGCGGCATGGCCATCCCCTGGGGGGTGATTTCTCGCTTTCTGTCTCTCTGGTGAGCACACACGCCGCACAGCAAACATCTCTTTTAAACAAACTAACAAGCAAATGAAAACTTCTCTAGGCTCCATAACTCACTTCCCAGGTCCCTTCCCTTTCCCTGGCCCAGGGGGTCTGCTCCAAGTGAACAGAATCTTCTCCCAGGACTAGAGCAAATGTCCCAATTTTATTTCTTATTTCATTTAATTGACTGCTCTCCTCTTTCCAGTCACCTAAAGCCTACCATTTGCAGAGGGTCTTCATATATTTCCTTTGGAGTCTCCAGGTGGCCCCATGGGAAGAGCTGGAAGGGTGTCTGGTAACTTACTTTTTGCAGGAAAACAGACCCCGAGTTATGCTGACTTGCTCAAGGTCAACTAGGTTCAAAACCGCCTCTTACCTGAACGCACAGATTGGCAACACTAAGCTACACACAGGTCCTGGCCCCGTAACGGGGGACTGGCCAGTCCCCAGTGCCCCTCTCTCCATGGACTCCTGCTCCTGAGAGCAGAGCCTTGGAGGCAGCAAGAACCAGAGCCTGGTACACGATCAGGCTCCTTACCTGTGTGTTAAGTGAAGGAAGCAAAACCAATGTTGGAAAGCAGTCGGCTTTGAAAGGGGAGTGGGTCCCTACTGGCATCTCCTTTACCGTTTGCAAGCTCCAGGCTGGGCTCGGGGATGACAATGCGTGGAGAATGGCAATGCACAAGTGCTGAGAAAAGCGTGAACGCGCCAGCCCCTGCTCATCCGTCCAGAGTCCCCGGAGCACTCCTGGCCCTCCATGGACCGTCATGTGTGAATTACAGAACCAACGGAAGCCAGTCCCAAGGGGTCAGGTCTAGCCCTGGCCATCCTCCAGATGAGGAGACAGACCCGAATGCAGCTACCCAAGAACAAGGGATGACCCTAAGGCACCCTAGCAGGGCCCCAGCCCTCCATCCCGCTCTCCATGGCCCTGCTGTGCCCCTTCCCAAGGGGCAGCCTTGCTGAAGAACCTCAGCTCCAGGGGGCCCAGGAGGCTCTGTGCCAGCAGCAGGTTTTCCAGGCAGAGGCTCCCAGAAACATGGCAGGAATCACATTAGCAACTCAGGTCTCAGAAGAGCTGGGGCCCAGGGAGTTATGAATGGAGGCAGGGGTGGGGGGACACCCATCGCCGCCGTGTGAATGTGGAGGGTCTCTCGTGTCTGCAGCAGAAGCCTCCATCCAGAGGCTCCAAAGACACTCACACTTTACAGCCCGTCTGGAGCTGGCACTTAATTGCCTTTTATTAAATTTCCCATGCATCTATGCCGAGAAGCCCCTGGGTCATAACAACAGCTGTGGCACTGAAAGTGGCATGGCGTCCTGGCGTGGTTCATGGCCAGGCCACACAGCATGAGCAGGACGTGTCAGCACCCCTGCCCCGGCCCCCACATCAGGAGGGCCTCAGGGTGGGGAGGAGTCATGTGTTAAGCACCTATTGTATGCCGGGCAGGGTGCCAGGCCCTTTACAGATAATACTGCTTTCTTGCTCACAACCAACCTCAGTCTGCTACTCTGGCTTGTTTTCCAGTAGAAGAGGCAGAATAATTGGTCCACACCACCCAGCCAGCAACTGGAACCTAGGTCTGCTGACTTTCAAGCCTTTTTTCCCTGTTCCCATAGTAGATTCCTTAGGGGACAAGCAGGGTTTGGAAACGGAGACTCTCCAGGGAACTCTTGCTCTGTTCTGGGCCCAGGATCCTCAGAGAGCTTCCACAGGGAGGACAGAAGCTCCAGGGCTTTTCTCCACAGATGCCTTTTCTCCTTTGAACCAAATCATTCCAGGGAGGCAAAGTCTCTACCCTGGGCCCCCCGGGGTATGAGCCCTGTCTCTTAGCCGCCACATCAGCGTGATGCAATCTGAGAGGCAGAGAGCCGAGAAGACAGCTGGGAGACAGCAGAGTCACCGAGAGACAGCCAGAGACAACCCGAGATGGCCACAATGCCCTGAGAGCCCAATATAGCCAGTGACACCCAGAGACAACAGCCAGTGAGTGCCATGGAGACATTGCCGGAAATAACCAGAGACCTGGCCAGCGATGGCCACCAGGAGGCAGCAGGACCATGAGGGTGGGCACTGACACCAGGAGGGGACAACCAGCAACACCAAAGGCACAGGGAAAGACACTCCAAGAGACCCCCCAATGACACCCTGAGAGACCGTCGGGGGCTGCCAGAGAGACAGCCACTAGTAACTACAGAAGCTGTTGGGTGCCCAGTGGACACAGCCGGTCTTGGGGTCCTGTACACTCTGTGCCTGCCTAGCTGGGAGACCTAAGACCGGCAGGTCCCCGAGGAACGGGCACAGTGTGACACGAGGCAGAGGCCACTCCGCTGTGCCCTCTGTGACTAGAATCCAATGACCAGTTAGTGCTTGCTGACCGGCGGAATCTCTGCAGGACACTGCCTTGTCCTGGACAGCCACGGTGTCAGACTCGTCCCAATGCCCTGCTAGGATGGGGACAAGGAACTCTCCCTGCTTGGTCTCACTGCCCCTCCTGAGCTCCTCAGCCTCGCTCTCATTCCCCATCCCTACTCCCCACTGTGGTTCTTCCCCTCCACCTGGGCTTCCTGAGCTACCCTTCCACCCCCAAGCAGGTACTCTAGTCCCTGCCCCTCAAAGTGCCGTCCCCGAACCAGCCATATCAGCATGGAAGAACCTGCAGAAATCTCGAGAACGTGGACTCCTAAGCCCCACCCCAGACTCACCTGTGAACTGGAACCTCTGCTTTAGCAAGAAGAGAACCCTGAGCACCTCACCCTTGAGAAGCCCTGATCCAACACCATGAGCAGTGAGCCCCAGCCCACGAGTGCAGACCCCTAGAGCCCCTTTCACGTCCTAACAGAGCGTGCTCTCCCCGGATGTGCCTGAAACCTTGCGCTCACAGAGCGCGGGGAGGGACGCTGTGTGCAAGTGTCGGGAGTGGGGGAGGTCTGGAACAGTGGAGGTGACCGGAGTGGAGGGAGGTGGTGTGCAGGGGGTGGGCAGAGGCGGGAAGGTGCAGATACTGATGACCCAGCACCATCTTTGGGGCCAGGCCCTGCATGCACCAGGCTCCCCAGCTGGGGGTCGGTCCCCTGCTGGTAGGGACTGTGGGCAGCTGTCTTCTGGTGCCTGGCCTCTGGGTGCCCGTGCAAGTCCCATTTCCTGGCAGATGCCTGTGAATCCATTATCTGCAATACCTCAGGGCGCTGGTGCTTAATTAGGGCTTAGCCCAGGCCCAGAGCTGAGAACCTGCCACCCAATTAATTGGATGCTTCCCTCTTTGGAGCTCCAGGAGGAAGAGGGAGCCTCGGGAGTGGGGAGGGGTCTGGCAAGGTTGGGGGCTGGCAGAGGGGATGGCATTTTCACTAAATTAATT